ACAGTTTGAGGTACAAATGATGAACTTGCCGCCATGGGAGTATGCAAAACCGAAGACAAATGAAGAATAAGAGTTGTGTTATACAATAAAGTTAGAGACGAGTTGACATTTTTCTTGTTCTTGAGGTTGGAACCAACATTTTTGTTCCTCATAATTAACCTTCTCCTTTTCCTAGCCTCAGCGGCATGAAAGGCTTCTGTGTATTTTCATTTTTCAGAATCCATAACAGTTTTTTTGGTTGCACATGGGGGAATTATAAAAGTATTCTAGTGGAAATTGTTGCATGGATTTGAAATGGTGTTCATAAAACTCCACAAGAGTTGACTTGTACCATAAAAAGTAACATGAGATATTTTTCAAGTGTAATGGAAAAGAAATTAGTTAAAAGTGTTGCCTAATAAAAGTTGACTTACAGGCAGGCACCAAAAATTTGAAAAGCAGTGATAAAAAGTTTAAGTTTGGCGCTCTTGAAAATTTGTCCCTCCAACATAATTGGCACTTGTATTGATTAAATACATAATATATAAATGAAGATGCTTACAAAGTATGTCAAACACAATGAAGAATGCATAGATGATATTATTTAAATAAAAATAATATAATTTTGTAATTGTCAAATCCAAACCTGCTACATAACTTACTGTCTAAGAACCTGCTGAATAAGTTACTGTCTAAGTATATGTAGGGGGTACTATCACTGATCAATGGAATAGTAAATGGCAGAAAGGTTGAAATGATAACTATAAAATCCAAAAATATATTAGAAGGTAGAAAAAGACAGTAAGTACAATTTGATTAAATCTAATAATAGAATTGCAAGATAAAAACCATAATAAGTGTTATCAAAGGATGTAAAAAAACCAAAGTACATTACTGTGTAACTATATTATTCTCAACATAACTTAATAACCAAAATTTGTTGATTCACATTGCATTTTAGTATGGAAAAAGAGTGAAATCGTAAAAGTGGAGGAAGCATAGGGAATGGGCTCATTGTTAGCATTAGACACAGTTGAAAAATAATTGTGGAACATTGGAAGTAAGGTAAATTGTGATGAATATATAGGAAGAAGTAGACATTGCTAACATAAAATCAAAAGGTACAATAAAACACAAGAGGTAACAGATCAAAAAAAAAAACCTAGTTACATAATTTCATAAGATGTTATATTACAAAATAAAATATCCTATAGAGGAGGATTCTAATCTTGATGCTGCTACTTCTCCAATTTGATTTGTTTCTTCAGTTTGGTAGTTGATTCTTCTCCATCATAGGACTGAGACAAAGCAGTAAATTCATTTGAACACTGGGGAGTGATCTTTTTTGATGCTGAAGTCGGTGTAACCGGTTCGGACAAACTGTTAGATATTATTTCCACGTCCTAATACATATGGGAAAAATTAATCATGTCATAGGTACTGAGTGGTATACCACAATTGCAGGAAAGTATTCTAATGACAGAACAATATTTAGAAACTTTACGAGAAGAATAGCTTAATCTTCAATTGCCATAGCTTCATCAACACTTTCATTGGTCTGCTATTAAAATTGAAGGAAAAAAACGTGTCAACGTAAAAACACATTAAACATAAAAAGTGCCATGTTTTTTCAAAGAAATTTACCTGAGTAACGTTTGGAGCGACATTAGGTTGAGACGCCGTCTGTAGAGACACTTAACAGAATAAGTATCTAATATAAATTAAATTTGGCATGTTAATAAATAATAGAAAGTGGAATAAAATTACCAAGTCTTCGCCAAAAGAACGTTATAAAGTTTTTTTAGAGTTTCATCCTCATAGATAGCGACAACAGATGCATTTTCCCAATCATGTTGCCATTTGACCTTAAAACTTATTGTCACACCCACAAACGCATCGAGTGCCAAGGGAAATTCCATAGGGTCAGTAATCCCATCCTAATCAACAAAATTGCATATATGATTTAGCAGTAAATTACATAACAAATATGAATATAGTGTTATATTTATAAAATATTATATAAAATGATACCATTTTAATAAACCTCAAGCATGTTGTTGCATATTTGTGCTGTAGTTAGTTTCAAGAGTTGAAATGTCGCGCGGTCCCATATAACAAAAGCAGCTTTCGCTCCACGATAGTCTGCTTCAATCAAAATCTTATATTTGTGAAAAACACTAACCAATGAGATTGGTGTAGAAAAAGTTTGGAAAACAATAAGGTTAAAGCACTTCATGGACCTAAATATTTGTGTTTCAGTACAGACGAAAGGCAGTTGACTTCCCTTGACAACCATTGTACATTCATGACATGCCTAATAATACCATTCTCCCTTAGAAGCTTTAAGTTTTTTAACTTGGGTGACAGTAACACATTTACTGATATGAAATTAAAACAAAAACAAAGACACAATTCTCAGGAAGTTATGTTCACATTACACAATTTAAGAAAGTAGGTTAAAAGGAAATTATACCGCTTGAAGTTTCACAATTTCTGCGAGAGGGAGAACAATTTCCTTATACATCCGTTTTATCATAAGGGGTTATGTGAGAAGAACCTGAAGCTTGTGTTGAACTTTGTGTTTGTGAAGTCAAAGATTGAGATGAATATTCCTCCAAAATCAATTGTGGGATTCTACAACAGGAAATAAATGTAACACATTATAATACAAAGTAAGTGTAACATATTACATCCAACTTTGTTGAACCATAAAGCAAGAGTAGAATAATGCAGAATGTATTACCTGACCATAAAGTCCTGGATCTCATGTAGTTCATCACAAATATGCAACTTCGTAACGTTGAATGTGTTAGACACACATAATGGAAAATTTCCTAAATCAATGATCCAGTTATTAGTAGCGATATTATAAAATATAATATTATAGTCAGGTAAACCTTAACCTATTGTTAAGATCCAAAACAATTAAATGTCAGATACCTGGCTCCTTGACCTTGGCAAATTGTAAAACCATAACTGCTGGAATATATGAGTCCTTCCTACCCTTGTCGTATTCATTGAATTGCATTGCGTATCCCTTCCACAAAGTGCAATTGAGACAAGTGTTACTACGGATGAATAAGTAAAGATAGTTTGATGAAATTATATGGTGATTGGGAAATATAAACTAAGTCTAACAAGGTGTTTTACGAAAACAAACCTCAAATCCTTTAGCACCAAATTAATTTGTTGTTTTTTACTTCCGCTATGTAGTTGAGTGTAACCTATCTCAAAGACCAATCCTATAACATCTACGAAATGAAGGAAAAAAATTAAACGAGAGACATATCAGGTAAACCAGTTTTTACTTCAAGCATGTTATAATGAACAATGGATGAACACACCTATCAATACATCAATTTTCTATCTGCCAGTGATTATATCAGCAAAAGGTTTGAACTGTAGTGGTTTAGGAGGGATTTCATGTTTGTTTTTGTCAGAAACTGAAGTTTCACCAGTAAATGTTACCGCAAATTTGTGCTCCGAAGGCTTGAACAAAACATCATTCAACGACACTTGAAAGTTTAAAATAGTATAAGTGTTATTGACCGTTATGACAGAATCGTACATTTTGGCTACAACATTTGGAATCTTCACATGTATATCTGATCCCTAAATGCAAAACAGACAACGAAAAGTATATTAGGTTTGTGTTAAGGAAAATAACATATTTTATTTTATTTAAACTATAAGATTTTTAACAGGAATACATATATATTGTAATATAAAGGTATTTCAATAAAGAAAACCATATAGTTTGAAATAGTTAAAAATGAAAACTTGATAATCAGAGTTATCTAAGTAGAGAAAACCATAAATTTTGAAAGAGTTCAAAATAAATACTTGTAAAAAGAAATTATTATAACAGAAACCAAACATAAGCAATACAAATCTAGATATTTTGAAAGAGTTAAAAACTTAAACTTGTAAAATAAACTTATTAAAACAGGAACCAAACAAAAGAAAAATATAAATAAAATCATCATGGAGTTATCTAAACAGACAAAACCAGAAAATTTAAAAGAATTAACAATGAAAACTTGTATATTATGTAAAAACCTCAACCAAAAATATGGATTATAACAAATTAACTAGGAAAAACATATCTAGGAAACAAAAACTAACCAACTTACATTACCTACACAGTAGAAACATAAAAATTAATCACTTCATCAGAATCACGAAACTTATATCTTTATCAACAACAATCATCTTGAAGTGTTCCTTTTTCTTGTTCATCATACTCCATATGTGATGAATTCGAACTGCAATCTTTTACATTTCTTTGTTATCATTGATGTCTTTCACCAGTGCATACGGTCTAGCCAAGTCAATGTTTAGATAAAAAAAATGTAAAAATCAACTTTAGCACTAACAAAAAAAAATGACATAAATAAAGATGATATTAGAAATAAAGAGTAATAACACTCTAGAGATTTTTTTACTTACCTCAATAGGTTGATGTTCAAATAAGAGTTATTTGAGGAAGATGAGTAGAAGAAAATATAATAAACAAGAAGATGAAATGTGAAGTGAAGAGTGAAATGAATGAAGGATTAAATTTAAAGACTAAAAACCTTGATTTTAAAAATTGAAGAATCAATACTAAAAAAAATGAACTAAAATTGCAAATAAGCATAACAAAAATTAGTGTGAAGAAATATTTTTATATATCATCAAATTGAAAAAAAGATAAATTTTGTCCTTATCCACCCACCCCCTAACTTCCTCATCATTCCTGAGTTTGAAAACTCTCAAAACAGTCTCTTCCGCTAAAAAAGTGACCTCTATCTCTCACACTCTCTCAATCTCATCTCCATTCTCCCCCACCACGCAACGCAACTATATCTTGAAAGTCAAGCAAGAATATCTCACTCGGAAAAGCCAACGTTACCAATCAAATTAAAAAGCAAAACCCACTTCAACACGCACTTCAATAAACCTTCCAATAATCTTCATCCGTTATTATTCACAATTAAATAAATTCAAAACCCTTAGGTTAACCTTCACCACCAACCGCCATGCCTGTCCACCACATTCCCTCTCCGTTCGGCGATCCGCCGCCGAATCTACCCTCATCGGACCTCCGTGAAACGGCCTACGAGATCCTCTTAGCCGCATGCCGGAGCTCAGCTCCGAAGCCGTTGACGTTCATTTCGCAGTCGGACAAGGGAGTTTGGGATCCGGCTGATCCGGCTCCGGCGCCTTCGCTGCTCCGGTCGCGGACTTCGATTGCGGCTAGTAAGGTGAAGAAGGCGTTGGGACTCAAAACTTCGTCGTTGAAGAATAAGCGTCCGGTGACGACGGGGGAAGTTCTGAGAATGCAGATGAGAATCTCTGAACAGAGTGATAGTAGGATTCGAAGAGCGCTTCTCAGAATCGCTGCTGCACAGGTTTCGATTTTGTTCTTTGCTTTTAATTTAGAAGCTTATTCAATTTCTGTTTCAAAATATCAATAATTAGTGTAAGTGAAGAATCTTAACTTGATTTTAATTGAAAAGTACTTATAAACTAGAAGCTTTTGCTTTGGTGTGACTGTGACTTATTTACAAAGTTTAAGTAGATATGAAAGATGAATATGGAATACAGTGAGTATTGAATCCAAGTAATCAAAAGTTCTTTTGATTTTTCCTAAGTACTTGAAACTTCTTGAGGTTTTTCAAATGATATTTCACACTATTCCTGAGCTGATATTGGACTTGCACTAGTTGACTTCTGTTTTTTTCTTTGGACTGAAGCTTGTTGACTTCGGTTGACTACTACCATATGTTGAAATTTGGATGGAGTGTTATGCTTGTTCCCAATCCCAAGTAATATTTCATTGTTTGCTTTTTATAGCTTTAGCTTTGTGTGCTAAACATGATGATAAATTCTTGAAGTCAATTGTTTGTGGTTGTGTAATTGAAGGGATATCTCTACTCAGATGCAGTTTCTTTTTCTGTTTTGAAGTAAAATCATTTTATAAGCACATTTGAAAATGTTTTACAGCCTATTCTGCATCTCTGTAGCATTGACACTTCTGAAAAAAAGGTGTGTCAGTGTCGGTGTCCGAAACCGACACCGACACTTGTGATTACGTTTAATTTAATAGTTTTTTTCAAATTATTATCAATGTCGACGTGTCAGTTTCGATGTCGTGTTTCTGGTGTATGTGTTTCATAGTTCTGCATTACAATGACTGCAACTCTTACAGTTGTATTAACTACCAAATCACAATGTAACCACAACCACAATTTAAAACATGTTTTCTCAACCAAAAAAAAAAATGCAAGATGCAAATGAACATTACCTGTTGGCTACTTTTTGTTCACATCATTAGTTACATGATAGGCAAATGTTAGTTTGTTGGCAAATTGGTAAGTCATGTTAGTTCTCAGGGTTTGATCCTTAGTATTCCTTTGGTGTCCCTCAGCTCATCGATTACATGTTATTAATGTTTAGAATAGATAATATGTATTTCAGTTTCTTGTATTGCTTCTTTGTTAATTATTATGTTGGATACACTTCATTTCACTCCTTTATGATTGGATTTAAAAAATGTGGACCAAAATCTAAAATTTCAACCGGTTCATTTGTCCCCTTACATATAATTAATCACTAATGATAGCTTACTAGGTCTTTGTTCATGAAATTGAATTAGCTTGGAAGACGCATGGAGTCGGTGGTTCTTCCGTTAGAGCTTATACAACTGTTCAAGAATTCAGATTTCCCCAATCAACAAGAGTATGAAGCTTGGTTGAGAAGAAATTTGAAAGTTCTTGAAGCCGGGCTCCTCTTGCATCCTCACCTTCCATTAGATAAGGCAGACACATCTGCGCAGAAACTCCAGCGCATAATTGGTGGAGCCATTGAGAAACCTATAAATTTTACAAGTAGTGGTGAATCAATGCAAACCCTCCGGAGTGTTGTCATGTCTCTTTCTTGCAGATCATTTGACGGGTCTGTTCCCGAGATATATCATTGGGCAGACGGGTTTCCACTGAACCTTTGGATCTACCAAACTCTTTTAGAAGCCTGTTTTGATGGTCACATTGAAACCTGTGTTATAGACGAGGTTGATGAGGTCTTAGAGCTCATTAAGAAGACCTGGCTTATTCTTGGAATCAATGAAACCCTACATAATATTTGTTTCACATGGGTCTTATTTCATAGATACGTTGTCACTCGCGAAGTAGAAAATGATCTGCTTTTTGCATCCTGTAATCTACTGGGGGAAGTTGAGAAAGATACTAAGGCCATGAAAGATCCTTCTTACTCAAAAATTTTGAGCTCCACATTGAATCTGATGTTGGGTTGGGCAGAGAAAAGGCTCCTAGCCTACCATGACACTTTCCATAGTAGTAATATTGAATCCATGGAAAGCGTTGTATCTCTTGCTGCACTATCAGCAAAGATATTGGCAGAAGATATCTCTAATGAGTATAATCGGAAGAAGAACCAAGCCGATGTAGCCTGCACCAGAGTTGAAAATTATATTAGATCATCATTGCGTGCTGTTTTCACTCAGGCAAGTTCTATCACTCAAAGCTTCCTTTCAGATGGCACATACATATGATTATTTATGACATTTGTGTATGGTATACTTTTCATACCGTTTACCAAAATAGTATAAAAGTTGTTGCTCTATTATGGTGCTAATTGCCTAATTTTGATGCCACTCATATGACTTTAACTCTCTAATCTCTTTTAAGGCAGAAAGTGGAGAAAGTGGACCATAGAAAACATCCGTCTAGAAAACAGAACAGACCTTTTCCAATTCTGTCAGTCCTCGCACGAGACATTACTGAACTGGCTTTTGAGGAGAAAGACATATTTAGTCCTAAACTAAAGAGATGGCATCCTCTTGCTGCTGGTGTTGCTGTTGCTACCCTTCATGTGTGTTATGGAAAGGAGTTGAAGAAATATGTTAAAGGTATCACCGAGTTGACACCTGATGCTATAGAAGTGTTGATGGCTGCCGACAAGTTGGAGAAAGAGCTGGTGCAGATAGCAGTGGAAGATTCTGTTGATAGTGAAGATGGTGGGAAATCCATTATAATGGAGATCCAACCTTATGAGGCTGAAGCTATAATTGCTAATCTTGTTAAGTCATGGATAAATATCAGAGTGGATAGACTGGTGGAATTGGTTGACAGAATCATGCATCAAGAGGTATGTCAAATCTTGTTGCTCAAAGTCTTATCAAGTTATAGATATATATTTTAAATTAAACAAGAATGTGGTCGTTGGCTCAAGAATCTTTTTACTTTATGATGATTTCAGCTATTGTTAGATACTACCATTACTATGTTATTACTGCACAAGAATGTGGTCGTTGGCAAGTTTAAGGTTTTAAAATAATTTTTAACGTCATCAGCCTTTGCTACAGGCATGGAATCCACAGGAAATTAAAGAGGGATTTGCTCCTTCTGCAGTTCAAGTTCTACGTTTCATAGATGACACTTTGGAAGCTTTCTTCCTGTTGCCCATATCCATGCACGCAGCTTTACTTCCTGAATTGATATCTGGTCTTGACAAATCTATCCAACAATACATTCTGAAAGCAAAATCCGGCTGCGGTATATATTCCATGCATTAGTTAGCATTTGATTTACCAAATTGAGTTATTCAATCCTTGTGTGACTAGGTTTTTCCCTTATGGTCTACAGGGAACCGTAATACATTCATCCCGACTTTGCCTGATTTGACCAGGTGTTCAACAAAAGGAAAACATCATGGTGTATTCCGCAAAAAAGAAAAGCCACAAATGACTCAGAGGAAAACCCTTGTTAGAACCACGAGTGATGATAACTTGTTTGATGTGCCCCGCCTGTGTGTTCGCATTAATACTATGCAGCGTATTCGCATGGAATTAGGGGTTCTGGAAAAGAGGATAGTTGCCAATCTTAGCAGCTCTAATTCCACCAATGAGGATGATATAGCAAATGGGGCGAGCTTCAAGCTTTCTGCAGTTGCTGCAGTGGAAGGTATCCGTAAACTCTGCGAGTGTACAGCATACAAAGCTATTTTCCAAAATCTATGTCATGTTCTTTGGGATGGTCTATATGTTGGAGAAGTTTCATCAGCCAGGATTGAGCCTTTTCTTCATGAGCTTGAGCAATACTTAGAGATCATATCATCAACAGTGCATGATAAAGTTAGAACACGAGTAATTATTGAACTAATGCGGGCTTCTTTCGATGGGTTCCTGTTGGTTTTGTTGGCTGGAGGTTCATCCCGTGCTTTCTCTTTGCAAGATTCTATTGTAATAGAGGAAGATTTCAAGCTTCTGAGTGACTTGTTCTGGTCAAATGGGGATGGCTTGCCATCCGAATTAATCGAAAAACATTCTGCAACCGTTCGAGGTGTAATCCCCTTATTTCACACGGATACACAACAAATAATTCAGCAGTTTCTCCAACTTACTAAGGAAATGTATGGTTCTTCAGCAAAATCGCGGCCTCCGTTGCCTCCAAAAGCAGATCAATGGAGGCCAAGAGAACCAGACACACTTCTGAGAGTTTTATGTTACAGGAATGATGAAGCAGCAGCCAAGTTCCTTAAGAAGAATTACAACTTGCCTACAAAAGTCTAACAAATTGACAACTAACCCACCCCTTTTGGTATTTCACACCTTGCCACCTTATATATACAATATACATGGCGCTTTAGGAAGTTTCTTCTGCTCTGAAATTTCCACTAGTGAAGCATGATACTCATAATCAGTGGTTTGATTAACTTTAGGAAATATATGGTGCTTTACATTCAATAATGCTTAACACTATCTTTGTACAGGTATGTGATGATTCTTTGTTTGCTAATTTGTTAGCTTGTTACTGTTTCCAGCTTGTGTCAAAATGCAATTTCTGACCTCACTGTGCTTTGACGATTCGGACGCAGAGAACATTATTTTTCTTATTTCAAACTGATTTGTTGTCTTGTTATTTGTAAGGAACTGTAATTTTTTATTTTACTGCGAGTTGAGTTTGGCCATATAAATCTAATTAAATTATTTATTTTGTGCAAGTTATATACAGTAATAGATGTTAATTTGATGCGCTGTAAAATATTTTACAATGTCCATTGATCAGAATCATAATTTGTATGACTTTGTGTAAAAAAAACATCTATTCTAACCTTAAAATAAAGATAACTATAGTTAAATATAGTGATTCGACTACCTGTAAGTATTTCAAGATGTAAAAAATGTTGGAATTTTAATATAGTAACTTAGAACTGCCGAAGTTATGTTATTTGAACACCCAAATTTAAACACATACCAACGGTATATTTTTGTCTCTATCTTTCTTATTTTTTTGATATTTTACACTTACACAAATTTCAAAAATACATTAATACACTATAAAATTACAAATAACACCTATTTGACACCCAATTTCGGGTGTACAAATATCATTTTTCGAAAACTGCGTGCAAACCAACAAAATAATTCAATAACCACATAAATTTTAGAATAATTGAATGAAATAAAGAGCAAGGAATTTGATAGGCTTAGGGTTTTGATTGCAAATTGAGTGTTACTTATTATGCCTCAAAAGGGTTATATAAAGGCATGTGTTTGTACTATGACAACTGTATCCTAATCATTTCATCTCAGAATGATAGGAATCATATGACAGAGAATGCCACCTAACTGTCTTCTCTAGAATAAGGAAAGAGGTGACTACAACAGAAATTACAATAAATACAAACAACAATTTATTTGCAGCAACATTATCCTAGTATTGTTGTCACAATACTCCAATCAGCACTACATTCTTGTCCTCAAGGATGGAAGTTACGAAATTTTTTAGCAGATCATAGTAGAATTCTCAAGTAGTCCCATCACTTGACAGACCCTTTCATTGGACCAATATTTTTTTTCACCGTCTTTGTAACATTTCGATTTTATTTAATATTATTTAATTATTTAATTATTTTATTAATAAATATATTATATAGTAATTAATATAATTGTGTGATTTGGTGAATATTTAAATTAATTAAATATATATACTATTTGAATAAATGGATTTATGAGTAAGAATAGAAAATAATTAGAATTGAACTTTATGTCATAATAGAATGAGTAAGTGAGTTAGGCTCATTAATGAAATAGAGTAGTAAGAAGAGGGATTAGAATTAGTGTTGTCATAAAACAAAAACAAAGAAGAGAAGAGACGAGACGAGGAGAAAGAGGAGAAAAGAGGAAAAGTGAAGAGTCAACCCTAAAGACTCTACACTCAAGGTAAGAGTGAAAATCTATGTTATTATGAGAGTATATGATGGATAGTAACATGTAATAAGATTGGGTATGTGAATTTCTAGATTTTGAATCACCCAAATTGATTTAGGGATTTGAAAATTAGGTTTTTGAAATCTAGTTTTTATGATGTAAATAAGTTCTTTATGGTGTATACATATTAGAATATGTTTATTTGATGAAAAATGGACACTAGAACATGTCTTAATGTGGATTTTCATGTATGGACAGAATGTTATTTGCAGAAATTTTTCTAGTTTTCGCAAGGGGCGCTTAGCGCGAGTTAGGACGCTTAGCGCGGGTGACTGCAAGTTGAAAAATTATTTTATGCATGAATGACATTGGGATCTTGTATGTTATGATTTATCATGTATTTACATGTATTTTAATAATTTATTTGACTTGATTCAGATTGGTTTTGGAAGTGTTTTGATGAGAAACTTAACACTTGAATTATGTATGTAAGTGTTGGAATTTGATGATGTTTGAATATAGCATGATTTGTATCTAATTGCTACATGTTATAATGATGTGATGAGATGATTTATACTATGAGATTGTGTATATGTGATTGATTGACATGAAAGATGTATGTTGGATAATATTGTGAAGATAATTTAAAATGTGTTGAATTATGTGATGAGTTGTTGAGATTGCACATGTACATGCATCATTTGTGTCAAGAGGCAAGGTTTGGTAATTATGTGGGAACTATTGATTTGTCCCAAACCTAACGTTGAATGGGGTTTGAAAGCTTAAGGCTGAATCAGAGTTTTATTGGTGGTTATCTTTCTTGGAGATGTGGATCCGACATGACCGGTAAGAATAACATTAGTACTACATGCATAATGCATTTGAGTTGCATTGGAGTCACATGTGTCGATGTGAATTATTGTACTATCACTCATTATATAATATTAGTGTGAATGTAGTGTTTTGATGTGCAACATGTGATAATTGATTTAATTGTACAATTGTGATAATTGGAATTGAATTTCATTTGAAATATGAATTGATGAGCTATGTTGTATATGTAGATTGGTATATTGGATTATGTTATGTCTAATATGTGGTTTTATGAAGAGTGATGAATTCATTATAATTCTGTAGATATATCTCCAGAACTTTTCTTAATTTCACTATGGGGTGACACCACATTTGGTCGCATTTGCACAGTGTGAAGGGTACGTCCGAAAATATACTTCTGAAAATAGAGGGACATTTTAGAGTTTTTATAGAGTTCTTTTAGCTTATATAGAGTGTAATAAGAAATTCTCATATTTTATTCAACTTTTCAAATGTTAGTTTAGTTCACGCTCAGAAAGCCCCCACAAATAACCATGACAATACACCAATGATACAATGAGCAGAGCCTTGTAGCAAATACTACATAAAATTATTTGAGTCGCATCAGTTTAAACATAATATTAAAAATTGTTGAAAATCAAAGAATGCGGGGATGAAGAGAAAAATGAACCTTAAGGGCTTCAAGATTGAAAGAGAATCTAAAAAAAATAGAATATTTTTGTGCACCCTTACACCTTTTTAGGAGCCCCTGGTGAAATTCCCTAAATTCCCCCATGTTTTGGATATGTATATCCAAATGAACCAACGTTCATTTTTTAACAGGCTAATTCGGATATGCATATCTGAAGCCACCAGAGATCTATTTCGGATGTGCATATCCAAACTATGCAGAACCAGTAGCAAAATCATATCTGAATTATACATATATAGTCAAAATTAACATAAATAGTAAAAAAAATACATAGATAGTTGAACACAAATTTAACATTACATATTGTTATAGACGGGTAACTGAGGACTTCGCAACATTTTGATCACATCCTCTCCCGATCTTCGAAGTCGCACATCCACTTTAATCGGACCCTTATTCGAGTATTGTTGAAAAGTACTCCACATGACCTTCAAATTGTCATCCGTCTTCAGCTCAAACTTTGTGAACTTGATCTTTCTTTCAGGGTCCAACGAGGGCAAACGATACTCGACCTTGATCACCCTTCGATTTTCTGGATATTATAAGAGAGTTGAGTGTCGTAATCAGGCCGGTGAGAGACATATCCTCGGAGACCCAGAACTGAAGTAGCAGTATGTTACCATTGAAGTAGACAAAAGCAAAGTAGGGATATGTTTGAGTCATCTCTATTTGTGGTGTGTGATGTTGAAGAAATAGTTTGGACCACCTATTTATAGAAAAATTGAAGCATTTTATACCACAAATGACATTGAACTGACACTTATCATTCACCCTACAGTATCCGCGCAATTTAAACGGACACTCACATTTTCTCGATTTGGTGTCTTCATGTATCAACTTATGAATTTTGAAAATATACTTTCCACTTCTCTCGCATACCATCATAACAAATGCTTGCCTTTTACTAGTGTCATAGTCGGACCTTCCAATGACAACGTCAAACCTGAGTTTGTTAGCTTCCATTCAAACCCATTCAAGCATATGTTGACACGCGTTGAAAACTTGTTCATTTGTAAATTGTTGCCTACAATCTATCGCCACAACAATCGATTTATTATCGTCCTTCACCTCTTCTGGTTTTTCTCCCTCATTCACAATGTCTGAAAGCTTTCGGGCAGTTGTCGCGGTACACCATATCTATAATCGAAAAAAACAGAAAACTGTCAAAACAAAATTTTGTTACTGCAACAGGCAATGTTTCGGGTATGCACATCCGAAATAAGTCAGGTGAATTTCGGATATGCATATCTGAAGTGACGCTGCTTTTTCTTTCAAAAATCAGAATCAATGCTATAAAATGAGAAGAGAAATGAGGGATTTTTATCTGAAATTGAAGCTTTCTATATTCCCTTTGACATGATAAATCACTTGAAATTTGATTTAGAATAGAAAAAATGATTGAGAATGGTTTAGGTTTGAAGAGGGTTTTAATTACGAAGGGGAGAAATGGATGAAATAGTTGTAGGAGTGGTCAAAAAGAATCTTTTTACAACTAAGATATTTTCAAAAATGCATTTCCGAAAATATCTCTAATTGTTATATTTCAATGTTTAAATTATAACTACACGCAAAAATGATTCGTTCGGTTATGTATATCTGTAACACCCTTTAAGGATTTGTTCAGATATGCATATCCGAATACTATTGAGATTTTCAGAGATGTTTTCCCCATGTGAAGGTGTACAAAGAAATTCCAAAAAAAATCATAGTGAAGAGATAATGAGTGGTAGATACAGTTATTCTTGTCTGCAATTGACTCAGAGTGGCCGTCGTTGGTGCTAGTACAGATTTCTTTTCTTCAAAAGAGAATAGAAGACATATGGACCGAGTCATTTGGAAGCATTGTGGTTTTGGTTTTGGTTTGATGACGCAGGGTGGAAGATATCATTCTAATACCATGTTTAAAATTAGAACATAAGGAAATGAAGGTGAAAGAAAGCTTGAGAGTTTAATGATTGAGATAAACATCTCATAGGGAACCATATTGAAAAGATAACGAAAAAGGCGATACATTTGCTCTATTTAGAGCCTTATTGATCACGAACCAAATGCAATAAACATGTTAGTGATCTCTAACAAACTTAACAATAAATATCGTTACTTTCTAATTTTCAACCCTATAAGAGAAACGCCAAGCATAGAATGTTCATAAAAAAATATCAACGAAATTAGCTCAAAAGCATCTTAATCCTAAAAATGAGATATTGCCCGTGTTCCGTTAGAAAACATGTAATTTCAAAATTTGTTTATCATTTGATACTCAAGAGATTGTAACTAACAATGCCTGCAAAATCTCTCCATGACCTTTCTATTAGCTGTATACATGTGTACATGAAGTGCATACTGATAAATATGCTTACCAACTAATAAATAAACGGAAAACTAAACTAAAAAGGGTTCCTTTTTAGTCCTTTCCTTTTTGAGACAGTTTTTGGGGTTGATTTCTGTCAAACATAAAACAAGAGACCAGTTATGTCAAGCTAAAGTTATTTCCAATCAAATATTAACAATGAATTTAAGTCAATAAAAAGAATTATATACTTACAGATTTTGTTTTTTTAGTCTTTCCCCGAATCCTGTTCTTTGGAGGCTTCAACTTGTATAACCGCACCATCCAGTGGTGGGTTGTGAACACCTGAATTCATTTAAATGTGGGACTTACATCAGAAAACCAAAACAAGCACTGAAAAGAATATTCGAAAGAATGATTGCTGCAATGAGTTATTATCTATTTGTTAGAATTTTTCACTAATCCGACAAATGTCAACAAAAATATGGGCAAATAATATGGAATGGCAACAAAACTCTGGGCTTATTATATGTGGAATCTACTATAATAGACTCTTCAAATTTTCAAAGGGTAAACTTTGTATAAATATAACATTAAAACATGCCAGCATAGATAAACATTTGGTAAATTATCAGATATTGTAGAACAGAAACCATGATTGGTTCAGTATGTGAATTCATCTTGCCACACACTAAGTGTAAATTAATTTCAGTATCATCATATATGAAAAACATAGCCAGACAAAATTCATAACAGATTCATTTAATATCATCCTCCCTCCCCAAGTGCACAGAGCAGACTAATATAAAATAATCTGACCTCTTCAAAATGCGTAAGTTTGAAATGTTTCTTTCCAATCTCTGTCCGCCTCACTCTGTCAAATGCTTTACCGTCTGTCTCCACAAATCTGTAGCAAAGCAATGTAGAGGGTGGTTAAGCATCCTAACAGTAAAAAACAGATAATTTTTCAAAGCCAATTTTACAGTGAAACTGACCTGTAATATGAAAGTTTATACATGAGGGAGTTAAGCATTGTTGGTGTAGCCATAGAATCAATTCGATATTGGCCATCCCTCTTTTGAAGAAGTTGAAAAAAAAAGAGGGTTAACTCTACTAGTAAGCTGAGCAATTAGTGAAAGCAGCTATAGTATCGTCTGTTTAACAAAATCATATGTAGATGCTCAAATTAAACAGCCAAAATTTTAGGCATGACTTACCAAGTAATCAGGTTCCTTAATGTGAGGGAATACACCCCCTCCAATACGAACCATCCACAGGAACTTATTAATATCATCACTAGGATACCCCACCAATCCTAATAATAAGCACGGAGCAACAAATCAGAAGAGAATAACTTTGATAATCCGAATATGAAAAAAGAAGCTGACCTCCAAAGACAACAAGAACATATTTGACATCCAAAGAGTGGAAAA